TTATGACAGCTAGTTTGAAATCTCTATCAGACAATTCCAATGCTTGAGTCACGTCACTATTATCTTTTCTCATTCAAATTGTGGCTTTCCTGGTTCTTGGTAATATGAGTGGTTTTCAATTGTATTCTAGACATCTTAGTTATTATGTTAGGAGACTCTTAATCCTATTTAAATCTATTTAAGCACATAGTTGCTGGTAGGTCCTGGTATACTTTTGTGGGCTTTAGTTCCAATGACAGTTTAGTTCCTGAACCCATGCAATGTTATTCTGGTCTGCCTTGTCCTTTTGGTGTTTCTGGAGTTCCTACTCAATTGCTGCTGTCTGCAGGGCAGGTAGGTATTTTCTTGGCTGCCTTCTGCTGCTGAGCAACCTTCTAAAGGAGCAGATGCCAGTGCACCGGGGTCTCCTTATGCCATTGGGTGAAGAAGAGAGAGATACAGGGCTTCACTGCTGCCAACACCACCAGCAGATCAGACCATCCACCAGCCTGGGTTGTGGGTTTGGGGGCTCTTTACTAGGTCTCTGCGGGACTTCCCCTGTCCCAGTCCTTTAGAGAACGAAAGAGAGGGCTTTTCTTGGCTTCTTTTGTCTATTCCTGCCAGCTTCTCATGTACCCAGTCTGGGTTATGTAGGAACTCTCAATGTTGTCATTCCTCAAATCCTGAGGTCCTCAGCCAGTCCAGCTTTCAGAGTCCATTTATTGTTGTTTGTTGAACAATTTCCAGGGTGTCTAGTTATATTTAGTGGGGAAAACTAAAGAAAAATGAGTCTACTTCATCTTGTTCTGAAACTAGAAGCCCTATGCACATATTTCTTACCATCAAAGAGATCTATTTCCATTTATTTCTTCTGAAAATCTCCAGAACTCAATATTTATTAAAAAAAAAAATGGAAGCCCAAGAATCTTGCTGCTGGAGATATCCGTAGGAAATCATCCAAAGAATAAAAAATATCAACCTAAAGATTATCTGATTTAAGGCTTATATTAGTTTACTCAGGCTACTATAACAAAATATCACAGACCTGGTAGCTTACAATTCAGAAATTTATTTTTTTCACAGTTCTGGAGGCTAGAAGTCCAAATCAAGGTCTTAGCAGGTTTGGTTTCTCCTGAGGCCTCTTTCCTTGGCTTGCAAGATGACTGACTACTTTCCCTCTGTGTCCTCACATGGTCTTTACTCTGTGCATGCACCATCCTGATGTTTCTCCATCTTCTTATAGGGACACTAGTCCTATTTGGATTAGGGCTCTGCCCTTCAACCTCATTTAACCATAATTACCTCTTACAGGCCCAATCTCCAAATACAGTCACATTAGGGATTTGAGCTTCAACATACAGGTTTGAAGGGTCACAATTCCATTTATAGCAAGGCTTTTTGGACTACAAGAAAAATAAACCCAACGCAGGCTAGTTCAGATGTTCAGTATTGGTTTCACGCTATACATGTGTCAAATGGAAACTGATAAGGGTTTCCCTGGGACCCCAGGACAGGGAGTGTAGTTGGGCCTCAGCAAAGATTACAGTCAGAGGCTGAGAACCATCTCAAATCAGGGCAGTTACTCTCACTCTGACCCTCCCTCCTCTCTGCTCCTTTCTTCACTTCTTTTTGTTTCTCTCTCTCTCTCTCTCTCTCTCTCTCTCTCTCTCTCTCTCTCTCTCTTTCTCTCTCTCTATCTCTCCCCAGATGTGTTTTCCCTGCTTTTCTGCACATGGTAGAAAATGAAAAACCATATGACCCCACCTGTCCCCTGAGATCAAGTGCCATCAAACTGGGCCAGTCCACTGTGGCCAGAGGCAGAGTTCTGTCTCCGGCCGCTTCCCACAACCCAAGGAGCAGACCGCCTGCTCCAAGGATGACATCCACAGAGTTCATGCTGTTGAACAATTTGGAAGCAACCTAAGAGTAAAACAGCAAGAGAAGGACCCATGAGTGCAATAGAATATTATACACATTTAATTACATAATAGTTGTGAGCTAGGAAGAAATGGGAGAAGTGCTAAGTGAAAAAGCAGAATGCAAAAGTATGCATTCCCTAGAATTACCACTATGTAAAAATATGGATAATATAGACAAAGATCAGAAAGAATAAAACTTAATATAATTTATTATTGTGTTAGGTGGTGGCATGATTTATTCTTTTTTCAAAATTTTCTCAATTTATGCTAGTTCACTGTTTTGAGTAAAACAAAACCAGAAACCGATCTTTCCATGGTACAGCATTTCTTTCAAAACTGGAGATTGAATGAACTTCCCTTGGTTACCCTGTGAACCACTCCTGTGGTTCCTCATTCCTCTTGCCCTGGCCTGTGGGGGAAAGTTTCATAATCTGACATGGTTATGTTAAAGTGACACACAGAGACTGTCACTTTAGCTTCAAGGCCATAAACTTAAAGCAAAGATGGCAGAGAGTACATCTCAAGTGCCAAATTCAAATGACTGATTAGTAGAGCCTATGTTGAGACAAACCATGAGAGGTCGGCAGAAAGAATATCTTGAACAGTTAGTGTCTGCCAGGGTCATCGGAACGGGACTGAGACACACATCCTATCCACTGGCCATCCTTGATTTTTCTCCACTCATCCCTCTTGGCTGCAGCCCCTCTCCAACCTCACCCTGTAGAGGTTTAGGTCTTCTCACACCCTTTCCTCATGTCTTGTCTCTCCTTCCAGATTATCACCTTTAGGGACTACCTACCCATTGTGCTAGGTGTTGAGATGCAGACGTGGATTCCCCCATACCAAGGCTACAGGGAATCTGTGGATCCCCGAATTTCCAATGTCTTCACTTTTGCCTTCCGCTTCGGCCACTTGGAGGTCCCCTCCACTGTGTCCCGCCTGGATGAGAACTATCAGCCATGGGGTGCAGAACCAGAGCTTCCCCTGCACACCCTCTTCTTCAACACCTGGAGGATAGTCAAAGATGGTATGTCCTTTCTGGGAAGCGCTGTCACCTGGCTGTCTCACTCTGCAGCCTGCTTCTAGGGAACCTTGGCTTGGAAGTCAGACTGCAGGCACTCCCTTTGTGATCTTGGGCAAGTAAATTCACCTCATTGAGCCTCAGTTTCCTCATTTATAAAATGGGGACGATAATAGTACCNGTGAGCCCTCACCTTGATCCCTCTCCCCCTGACTCCCCTAAAGTTAACTGCAAGGAAGGGCTTAGGAGAGGGTCCGTTTGGGGCACCCTCATTTATTTTTTTGGTGCAGGTTACTGGGTTCTGAGGCTGCTCAGGGGGAACCCACCTTCCTGCCTTCTGGGCTTTTTCAGGAGATTCCCGAGCCTCGGAGCATACCCTGCTGGCCACTTTCCACACCCTCCTTCTCCGGGAGCACAACCGGCTGGCCAGAGAACTAAAGCTACTCAACCCTCAGTGGGACGGAGAAAAGCTGTACCAAGAAGCCCGGAAAATCCTGGGAGCCTTCATTCAGGTACGGAAGCCCAAGAGACTTCCTCACAGGCCCGCCTGGCTTCTGCTCCTGGCTCTGCCCTCTGCCACACCTCTGCTTCTCATGCCTCCATTTCTCCCTTCTCCTCCTCTGCTGCTTCTTTCGCATTGCCTCATTCTTTTAAACCTTCCCTTCTGTTTCTTCCACTTCTCTGCCCCTAAATGAATCCCTGGATTCAGAGTATTGGAGTCATTCCTATGTTGGCCACTCTGTGTGCCTGCCCGGGTGCCATCACTGGGACCATAGGTCCCATCATTCCTGGGACTGTTCCCTAGCAGTTATTTTGGTTATTTTCAATTGGTTATCTTCTTTTTCAATTCTCTTCTCCTAAGCCACATGTCACAGGCATCGTCAACTGCTGTTGTCAATTGGCCGATTGACTGATTAGAAGAGACTTAGAAAGGTTGCTATGTTGATATTAACCGTGTACATATTTTTAAAATATTTTATTTTGAAATAATTGTCGATTCTCAAGGAATTGTGAAAAAATTTAAAATGTACATGCACCCAGCCTCCTCCAATGCCAAGATTTTGCATAACCATGGTACAATATCAAAAGAAGGAAATTAACACTGATTTAGATTTCACCAGTTATAAATGCAATAATCTGTGTGTGTGTGTGTGTGTGTGTGTGTGTGTGTGGACCTCCATGCAATTTTATCACAAGTGTAGCCTCATGTAACCACCACTACAACAAAGATGCTTAACTCTCCTATCACAAGACTCCCTCATGCTACCCTTTTATGCCACATACACCTTCCCTTTCCTATATCCCTAACCCCTGGCAACCACTAATCTGCTCTCC